ACACATCAAGAGCTGGAGAGCATTGTTTGAAATAAACCAAATATTCTAAATACAATGCAAGAGATTAATTACGCAATTATTTGTCATTATTTATGAGTTTGCTGCCTTTTGTAGATGAGCCACAAGATCAACAATTAATAATGCTTTGAAAATATGATAGCAAATGAGCAAATGGTCTGGACAATTTCAGAATTATATACAACTGTACTTATCTGCGAGTCGGATTCTATTATCAGTTTTATTCTGCTCATCCATGAGAAAAATAACCAAACCCAGCAGATAATAGGATACATTTTCTGATCGACTCTTATGCGTGAAAATGCGCAGATAAAAGGAATAGCTTGTAAATATGGCCAGGGATAAGTGGAGCTCTCCTGTGTTGTAACTAGAGATTCCATAATAAAACCATTCACCTGTAGGTTATGCTAAAGGCACAGCGTTGCAATTGCAATCTCGCGCCACTGCTGGTGCAAGGGCCTTCACTGAAGAACACTCTATAGAGCCTCTCCGGAGCGTACATGGCATACTTTTTCCAAGTAGGAAGAGGTGAAATTTAGATTTAAAGCTTTCGTGACTGCAGGGATTCATATTCTTGGTTCTTTCGGTAAAGTCACGTAGAAGAGAAACAATAAAATAATAAATATAAAACAATACAATTATCACGACGTTTCGACTGCAACACAAGCAATCATCATCAGGCGTGTTTCCCTTCTACGTGACTTTACCGAAAGAACCAAGAATATAATAGGAAGAGATGGTTGTACCCACACTTTACCCCACCACACGCGGTCAGCCGTACGACTGCTGTGCTGCTGGTTATACAGCAGTGGCACGGGGTGGAGGGTGGTTTTGAGAAAATTGCCTCTTGTTTAAACGAATCTCGCACCCTTTGGATTGCAAGTCCAATGTGCTAACGATATCCCCACTGCAGCCTACAAATGTAATTTATATGCGGATATAAAATATCTGTGGCACATTCCGCTCAACGTGCCAGACAATTTGAAAGTGTAAGCGGCTGATGTGTGAATATATATTAGAATTTGAATAAAAACACACCAAACAGCGCCATCGCACAAGCAACCCATGGTCATCTTGTTGCACCTCGGTTAAAATGTTGGCCAAACATGTTGTGCCGAGGGCAGTGTGGCATGCCATGGTTGTAACTGTGCTTGCGGCTCTCCGTGAATGGGAGCGTTTGTGCTCCGCCCTTGGTTTTCCCTGTGGCTGCCTCGATGTTATGACCCCTCGTGGCAATGATTGCGTGAGCCTACGAGCCACTCATGGAGCGAGATCATCATCATTATAATGTCTCGTAATTTAGAGACCCAGTTAGAAAATCCGCTCTCAAACACCGATTAAGTTGCCCTAATTGAGCGGCATGGTTAAGAGTGGTAAGGTTGCATGTGCTGTGTTGCGAGTATGAGTTTTAAGGGTTGCTACCTTTGAGGAAACTGGGACATATGGGAAGGATTTCTCACAAACCAGAAGAGAGGAACATTCCATGTAAATGCATTGTCTTAACTCGTGTCGTGTGTTTTTGCGCAACTGATAAAAACAGGACTTTTAACAAGGCAGCAGACATCGTGTTGCTCGCAACAGACATCGCGGCTATCGCGATTTTCACCTGAAGACGGGCGCTTGTGTTGTATCCGAAACATCGTGATTTATTTTGTTTTATTTCTACCTACGTGACTTTACCGAAAGAACCAAAGAGTATGGATTCCTGCAGTCACGAAAGCTTCAAATCAAGATAGGACTTTCAACGTCTCGAAAGGACAGATTTCCAGAGACAGCTGCCTCAAAACTTGGATGATCCTGTGAAAACTAGGACAGGTATTAACCCTAGTTAGTGGTGAAATTTATTTTACACAAGTCACCCAGTCCAGCTTGAGTTAAATTTCATATACATGGGCGGCTGAGCTTGCTTGCTCTTTTTAGATCCTCAGTGTCACGAAAAAGTCAACATGTAACCACCCACACTATTCATTTTCTCATAATATCGAGCCCCATTGGGCCGTTGATGATCCTGTAATTGCTCTCAAATCGGTACAGCTGTTGTTTTACTGCTGCTTTCATGTTCCGTGGCCACACTTGAGATGTATCCAGCAAGTGGCTTTTCAAAGTTGTGTGTGTGTAGAAACGCGATGAACGTGGAGTTCATAGTGCTGTCTGGGCATTTCTGCGGTGGGTGGCGTAAACATCAAGGTGAAACGTGTCATTGCCGCCCGCGTTGCAATTTGAATTTGCATCGGGGCAATTCTCGTTGTGCCGAAGAGTCGTGTGTGCAGCCTGTAGTGCACAGTACTGCAATGTGAAGACCACCGGGGCTTCGTTTTTGTTTCCATGGGTGAGGTGCCGGAGAAAGTACATAACGAGAAGCGCCGAAAACCACCATCCATGCATCAGCAGGGTCGTCACCAGGCTTGCGGCTCAGTGTGGATGTGCTGGCTGTTGCTCTGGAGACCCCGGGGAGATCGATTATCGGACGTTCGGTCGCTGCGTTGATGGATTTTCTCACTGAACCAAAGTGGGGACGCGCGGACGCCGGGCCTGTGTCACCTCTCCGCTCCATTGATCGAGCGCGCGGGTGAAGTATAGACAAAGGTGCCCCCTGCCCCCAGCCACGTCCCTGCACGGCGTTGAGAGGCCCTCATCTCGGACTGGATTGACAATGGGGGCTGTGCAAACCATGACAATGTGGGGGGGAGGGGGGGGGTGGTGCTGCGGCGCAGCGGTTAGCATACCGACTTTGCTGTGTCACGAACCCGGGTTTCCGAGTTCTGAATCCCGTCTGCGGCTATTGTCAGCGGTGAGTGCTCTTTCAACCTGGACCGACCAGCGCTACACGAGCAGCTTGGTGAAGTTATGGCCAAACAAAACAGAATTAAAGGTACGTGTATGGGGAGGCCTTCATCCAGCAGTAGATCTCCAAACTATACAGGACCAAGCAACAACAACAACAAAACCCACACTTTAAAAAGTAACGTTTAGACCAGAGTATTGGACAGTGTGCACGTGTTGTTGATTTAAAAGTCAACTGTTTCACAACGCAAATGGTAAAGGTGCAGCTGGGGTGTGGAAGAGCAATGGGTACCAAATACCCGGGAGTTGGCCTCTTCTTCCACGTTAGCCCCACACCTTGGAAGACTTTTCTCAGTGTACTGCAATTAAAAAGTACTCGTTTAATCGTTCATTTGTCGTAATTAAGCCAATTCGTTATGTTTACCCAGTTAACTAAAGAAACCCAATTGCTACCGAATGTATCCCGAAATATGCTTCCCACACTCAAGAATGCTTGCTCATGCCACTGGCTGGCAGAAAGGGGCCTCCCATTGCAGGGAACTGGACGTTATTTTATCTCTGTCACGACGACCAGAGAGACGTGTCGGACGTAACCCACGCTTTACCCCACTACACGCGACCTACTGATGGGACGCACTCGTAGTAGATGGAGAGAGGCCGGTGAAGGGAGGGAAATTGAGAGTTATCCCCCCCCACACCATCATTGTTTCAAACAACACGAATTGAGCTGGCGACCTCTGGGTTGCAATAAGTAGTCCACGGTGTTGGCTAGCCATTGCAAATTTGTGTTGACGAAACCCGATCCAGGAGCGTATTGGCTCATAGGGGTAATTAAAAATAAACTTAACTGAACTGAAGTTTGTAGGTTCAATATTAAAAGTCGGAATCAACTTAAAAGTGTACTTTGTTCCCAGCACGTGCTCATTACAGTACACTGTACAGGCCACGGTAGATACAACCACACGGTTTCTCGGTTTTGACAATGGAATTCGTCGATTAAATAACCCGGGGGACATTTTTTTCTGTCTCTCTTTCTCTCTCTCTCCCATATTCGTGTCTTGAATTTGCAACAACAAAAAGGTTATCGTCTTTTTTTTTCAATATCTCGCTTGGTCATGACATATAACTTGAAGCGTCAAACCGACTCATCATACATAAAGATCCCCGGTCACCCCGTGCCTTAACCCGACTGTGTTGGGTCAAGCGCTGATGGGCGAAGCAGCGCCTTTGACAAGGTCGGCGCGGCACGCGACCAGGGGAGTGTAGTGGCCGAACCACCTTTGTCTAAGCCCCGATGCTGACATTTATATTTAATGACACCACCGCAATCAAGGTGGTCATTATGAGGCTGAGTCGCCCTAAGCGGGGGGCGGTGTGGGCCACAGGACAGGGGTAAGATTTAATCCGTCACCGATTTGGTGGTGAGCGGGGTGTCGCACTCGGGGTGGCCGGGGTGAATGCTGGCAACCTCCCCCCCTCCCCCCCATTACAAACAGTTAAGGACGAGAAGCGGAATCGTGGCAAACGACAGGAGGCAGGATGACTTCAAATCATTGGTTTAATTGAATAATGGTGGTGGCCCAGTTGGGGCTTGAATAAGCGGGTGGATGGGGAGGGGGGATCACAGCAGGAATGACGCGACAACAACAGGAGTACTATCAACGTGATTCTGTTATATTAAAAAACAACTGAACTATACCACCCCCTCCCTCCTCCCTATGGTGTAAAAACGCGCAGTCTCTCAAACTCTTATATCCCTCTGGCCACTTTTATGTTTGTGGAAATTAAGAAGGGCCGTTGCCCGAAACGTCGCCTTTCATTGTTTACCCCCCCCCCCCCCCTTTAAGGCCGTAGATGTTATTGGCGATCGCGTTGAGTCTGCTAATAATTGTGCTTTGTGCGTCACGTAAACACAGCAGTAATTTGTTTTATCGAAGAAGTTCAAAGGGGGTTGGATGGGGGGGGGTGAACCAGTGGGCGGGACTACGGTCACTAATGGGCGGCGCGATTTCTGGAGTGGGCGTGGCTATCGTGGGAGTGGGCGTGACCGAACGGGTAAATGGGCGGGGCGAAACGACCGAGCGGGCGGGGCGACGCGAACTAGTGGGCGTGGCGAGTGCTGCAGTGGGCGTGGCGGGTGTGTGAATAGGCGTGGCGAGTATGGTAATAGGCGTGGCGGAGTGAGTGGGCGGGTCTACTCCGGGAGGGGAGGTAGGAGTCCCGCGCACTGACCGCCCACGTGTTGCGGCGTGCGGTGTGTAAGTAAGCGAGCGTGTGTGTGTCTGTGTGTAAAGTGTAAGTGTAATGAGATCCGGCTGCTTTAGTCCGCAAGCGCTTTCGCCGTGAACGCTGCTCCTGCGCGGGCAACGCACCGCTCAACGTGCGCGCTCAGACGCTTCAATCGTCACCACCACCGCTACAATACTAAAGAGGGAGTTACGGACTTGGGGCTGTTGTGAGACCGTGGTGGGTGGTGGAGAAGACGCACGGGGAGCCACGCCGCATGCGCTCCCGCGTGAAGTCGGAGCGTGGGGGCAGAGGAACAGCGCACAAAGGGACGGCCAACGCCAAACAAGAAGACAAACATCAGCGGCGGCGGGCTTGTGTCGCATTGTTGCGCTATTCTAGACTCTAGACGAGTGAGTCGTGAGCGGCAAGACCAGGAGAGAAGAGTTTCTGCTGCTGCTGCCGCCGCCGCCGGGCTGTGAGAAAGAATCCGTGAGAGGAGGAGGAGTAGGCTGTGATTCCGTGGCTCTGCCTGCGTGGGGGACCACTTGTTTTTATTTCAATTTTCTTTGTTATTTTCTCGACTCTCTGTCGAGTGCCGAGGTAGCAGTGGCCGGGGGGGGGGGTTTAGGTTTCTCTTCCGAGAGGACGCGCGAGAAGCGCTGTCCCTCTCTGCGGAGATCTTTGTGAGCGTTTGAAGACAATCGTGGGGACTCGAACGTTCGAAGGAAGAAGCGACGCGACACCACAGCGGCAGGTTAGTTTGCGTGTGCGAGTGTGTGCGATTACTGTGTGTGATGTCTTTATCAGTGGGGAGCGGTGGCCGTATCGATTAGCGCTACGAATCCGGCGTCCCGAGTTCGATTCCCGGGCACGGCCACCGGCAGTGACGATTTAATCGGGACCGGTCCTGGGCTTAGGTCGACTCGGCCTCAAATGAGTACCTGGTGCGGTGTGTAGTGAACATCGTCAGTCGGGAGACGAAGGTGGCCGGGCGTGGTGCTGGCCACCCAAACCCCCTCGTGTGCCACAGTGCCGACCTTAATAGGTGCTCGCTAACAGCGCTTGCCCCAACAGTCTGTTACAGGTTACACGGGGGGGGAGGATCTTTGTCTTTACGAGTGTGATGTTATTAATCTGCTTACTACGAGTGTGATGTTATTAATCTGCTTACTACGAGTGTGATGTTATTAATCTGCTTACTAGGAGTAGCGCAATACTCAAGATCCGATTACTTCACGTGTACCGTATATCCCACGGCTCCTACTACTTTATTGCATAATATGCAGACGGCGTACACTCCATGCTATGTAACACCGGATCGGTGGAGGGTTGGACTCCTGGTCCCGGCTTGGAACGGCGGTCGGCTGGTGTGATGATTTGCACCGGTCTCTGTTGGTTAGCCCGCTGTTTCATCAATACCCCGTGGGGTGAAGTATGGTCAAACGAATTAAGGGGGAGACCTTAATACTTCAGCATTGGACCGACACGAGGGTTTCAATGATAGCGCTTCATGTACGGGTATGCGAGTGGTTGTTAAGTGGAGTCTTGTTTCGCGCTTTTAATGTGTATGTATCAAATGCTGCTTTGCTATGCCAGTTGAACGTGCATCACGGCTGTACCGAACTGCGTTTGTCTTCTTGGAATGGGTTCGGTGTCAGCGCGTTGTTGAGTGTACAGCAACGCACGATCTTACTGCGTCGTCCTCCTTCAAGTAAACCGATGTGCGGTGGATGGCATCATCACAATGTGCTTGTCAGGAGAAGGCAAACCATGGACCCGTCTCCTGAGATGTCCTGCAGCACCACAATGCACTTCCCTCAAGATTTGGCAATGCCAACACCAGAAGCGCTGGGCCTGTGCAGAATATTGGGCGAAGACTGCAGAGGTTGGACATGAGTCAAGAAGAAGAAGAAGAGGCATAGCAGTGGAATTTGATTTTGCTCGTGAGATTCTTAAAAAAAAAGTAATGGGTGGGTTTTACCTTCCATTAATGTTGACAGCAGCCAACATCAATTTGACATTCTGTGAAGGCTTCATACGTTAGCGCCACGCATTTCTTTTGTTGAGGGCCCTTTTATGAAATGCCAAATATTTAATGGGTCCTGTAACAACGTGGGGGATTTTTAAAAAGTTTGAAAGACAAAAAAGCGAGTCGAGTGTTGGCGCAACGGTTCCTGGCCCCGTGCTATTGACCCTGAAAGCCAAGTTAGATTCCCCGGCTAACATCAGTGGCTGTGACCATTTAACTGGGCGCCTGACTTGAGCAACCGCACTGATCAAAGTGGTGAAGTATGGTCCAACAAACCACCCCCCCCCCATGGCCAACACTGCATGGCTGGAGGCTTTGATCCAGTATTGGATTGATTAATGGGTGTAAAAGAAAAAAAGCCACCTTTTGAAAAAATGTGGTGGTGGCTGTGGAGCCTTGGTGGTGGTGGGGTTAATGTTTAGCCTGTTTGTGAGCACAGTGGTGATACGTTATCTCGTGGAAACATCATTTGTTTGCTGCTTCTAATCCCATCAATGGACAAAATACAATTGCGGGTCCATGAAAAAATCCACGGCTGCACGTGATAATTTTCAAGAGTGCTTGCTGCTCGCTGACGTTCTATTGCTGGAAAAAGCAATGGAAGTTGTTAGCAAGTTGCTTCCCGCAGCAATTTTGTGGTGCATTTGTGTGCCGTGTGGGAATCTCAGTCGGAATGCCAGACGCGGCTGAGCGAGACCCATAATGACATCTGGGTAATAAGATGAAATTGCAAAGCTTACGAGAATATAATTTCAAATCCCAAGTATTTTTCGGCACGGCACACACTCGGCAGTGCCATACAACACACCAGCCACAAGTATTTCACTGCTCCTACAAAACCGGCAACCTGTTTGAGTTTCTCGTAACATGCGTGGCGATTACATGATATATCGGCCGCTCTATACCCACGTGGCACACGCTTCCAGAGTACGTCATCGCCATCGGTAATAATGCCCCATTCTCATCGCCAGGTTTCCAGATGTACATGCTGTGAGCAACCAGTGAATCAGAATCAGAAAATTTATTTATACTGAAGGAATCCGATGAGCTATAAAGCATTTTTTTTTCCCACAGATGTCCAGTAGGGGTGGGTCGGAACGTTACAACAACAAGAAAATCACTTTAAATTTTTTTTTATGTGCTTGACAAGAGAAAGGGGGAAAAAACACATGCGGGTGGAGTGTAAAAACCACCAAAATACAGCAAAGCCGTGGCTTTTAGCAGCGCCTTCTCTTTTTCGCATCACAGCCTTCTACCCAGCCGTGGGTAGCCTTCTACCCACGGCTAGTAGGTTAAACAGAGAACGCATTACCACAATTTTCCACCGCCAGACGCGAGTGAGGTCGGCAGGGGCAGCGTGCGAAGCAAAGCAAACCCAAACTGTGGCTCTGAGAGCAAGTGGCCCACAGCCTACAACTCGCAGCCTCCCCCTACAAAGTTCAACTTCCAGCACAGGCACACACACAAAGTTAATATTTTTTTAATGTGCGCTCAGCTCGGTTGTTGCTGTTTTGTGTGTGTGGTTTTTTAATATATTTTTTTATGATCGCAATGATGGTGTTGGCGCGCACCGCCACGGTGTTTGGTGCAACTTTCTGAAAGCTGCGCGCACAAAAGTTTTGGGTCTCTGCTTAACAGACGGCAAAACATCTAAACTTTTAGGTGAAAAAAAACTGCTTTTTTTATGATCGCAATGACCGTGTTGGCGAGCTCCGCCACGTTGTGTGGTGCAACTTTCTGAAAGTTACGCGCACAAAAGTTTTGGGTCTCTGCTTAACAGAGGAAAAAATGTAAAAAGTTTAAGTGAAAACAAAACAGCAACCCACAGGGGAACGTGGAACTACAGTGGTGTGCGTGGCGCAACGTGAAATATATGCATGCAGCTTTAAGCTGTGGTTACTGGATTAAAATGCATTTGTTATCAATGGTCCAACTATGCAGCAGAAGCAGATAATGTGTTTGAGAGAGTGACTTTAAACCTAAATAAATGACAACGTTCTTACTTTTCTTCATGTTTAATAAGCGTTCTATTTTTTCTTCAAGTATTGATCCAAATACTCAAGAGTCTTCGAAAGCTACTGCTTGTGCTATTTTTGGAAACAATTCTGTAAGACTGCTTATACATACACAGTGTTTGTGTATTTCATGTGTAAATTAGTTCTGGTGCACACACTTCAAAAGCGCACGAGTGGCAGGAGCAGATACATCGCGTGGTCTTGCTTTGTTCAATGCGACTCGAATAACAGTGTTGAATTAAATGTTATGCAGTGCTTCTCGCCCTTTGTTTACTCTTAACAGAGTTGTCTGCGGTTCCGTGTGTGTGTGCGTGCGCGCGCGTGTGTTTGTACCCATGTGCAGGGCCATCCATTATGCGGTCAGCCCTCTGCTGAGATCTGACCCTGCAGGCCCCCTCTATCAGCACGACAAAAGCGCACACAGGCCACGGGCGGGCGAGGGCGAGGAAGTTTGTGACAGCAGGGAAGGGAGCGCGGGTCCTTGCCGCGCGCCAGCGTGCATCTGATGGAGACGCCACAGCGCAGACCTTGAGAGCCCAGCGAGCCCCTGCCCCACACACACCACCGCCACCACCAAAAGCCACCTCGCCAGCTCAGCCCTCTCCAGCCATGGCCTGCTGCCGTACTTCGAGCTCGTGTCAGCAGCTGCTGCTGCTGCTGCTGCTGCTCGCGTGCGCTGTTACGCTCGCCTCGTCTCGCCCGCCGGGACCGTCCAGCAGAGTCGCCGCGCCCACGGGTGAGTCTCCGTCGTGGTGATGCAGCTTGCGGTGATGACGGCCGCCCGTCTTCCGTGAGATTCCATTTGATTTGGTGTGGTGTGTAAATTCGACGTGGGATTAACAGGACTATTGCATAGCATTGCTGTTTTTTGTGTGTGTGTTTTTTATTGTGTTTTACAGCAGGTGTGACGTAATGTTGTTGTTGTGTGATGTGTGTGGGCAAGTGTATGGTCCTCATCTGTCAGTCCGCTGCTGGATGAGGGCCTCTGCATGCAGTGTGAGTGTCTTCGTGGTGGGGGTTATTTCACCATACTTCTACGTTTCTCCACGCTGAATGGTCTTAACAAACGGCCAATTACAATATTATTAACATGGGTTAATACAAATAAATATGTTCTGTTCAATACAGTACTTTAAAACATTCCACCAAGATTACCCCCCAAATAATGGCCAATTGAAATGATAATTTTGTTGTTTCCAAAAGCACTACCATAACAATAAAACTGTACTCGGCACAAACTTACCAAGACCTTAGGCGTCTTTGCTCAATATGCACATTTTAGGGTAGTTCTCCTTTTGAGCTGGGTACGTTCATGCGCAATGTGCTCAAAAAGCAGATATGCATCTCTGTCTGGTGGCACCGATCTCTCGTTGCACAGAGAAGCCAGGTGAGATTTAGGGTGCGGCCAACAATCCAAATGAACATCATTAGCAGCTAAGTGCGGGTTGGGCTTTGTTATTCATGCTTCAGTACAGGGACAGAGGAGCCCCCCCCCTAACGTCCCTGTCCGTGTGTGTTTAACTGGCAAAGGTGAACTCTGGTGGTTCGTTTGCCACGCCGCTTCTTTCACTCTTGCGTGTGTTCTGTCGTGTTGGTTTGTAGTGAACTGCTGGATTTTAGCTGCGTATGTTTTGTGTTTTTTTAAGTAAAAGTATATTTCGTAAAAGAAAAAGGTTGAGGTTTATAGTTAACCTTAGCCGTAGTTATGTATGTGAAAGGGTTAACGTGTTGTCTGGGGGCTTCGCTTGTGATATTCTAGTCCAAAATCTACATCTCACACACACACTGTGCCTTGCATGGTATGAAATGAAATTCCTTGGGAGAGTGTGGTAAGTTTGCTCGGCATTTATAATAAAGCTGCTGCAGCATTATTTATGAGTTTTTTTATCGCGTCCAATATTGTGGCCGCTTTTATCGTCCGCTGACAAAAAAGGGACAGCCGAAAAACAAATGAGAAAAACATACGCAGCCATAAATGTATTTTGAATGAGGATAGTCTGAAGAAGGAATATCTTTCATAGTCCTTCACGTGTACAAATAGCCACTGGAATAACGTTATTTTAATAAGTTTCACAGTCTCATTTGTGTTGAAGATTGAGTATTTTACAATTAAAGCACTCATTAAATTTTGATTTAAAGCTTTCGTGACTGCAGTGATTCATATTCTTGGTTCTTTCGGTAAAGTCACGTTGAAGAGAAACAATAAAATAATACATTATATATAAAACAATAAAAATTCTCACGACGTTTCGACTGCAACACAAGCAGTCATCATCAGGTGTGAAAACCAACCGCAAGAACATTTTTTCAAATGTTTAATATATATTTTATTATTTTATTGTTTCCCTTCAACGTGACTTTACCGAAAGAACCAAGAATATAAAGTACTTATTGTTATGTATTTGCCACTTTCATCTTCTGAATTTCAATGTGTTGACATCTGTTAGAGTTTTGGGGTGGTTGGCGCTGGTATTTAGGTGTGAAAATACGAAAAAATGATCATACGTGAAGACATATCAAATGTAACACGCTTGAACAAGAGTTGCAATTTTGTAATCGGCCCTTGATAACTTTGCACCCCGTGGTTCTCAATGAGAACACGATATGTTCTTACCAATAGACCAGGAATCTTGGCAAAATGTTAACTCCCTCGTCTGGCATGCAGGAGGTCGTCGGTTCCATCCCGACCCTGACGCCTGTATATTTGGAGTTTGAATGTTCTCCCTGTGGTCGCTTGGATTTTTCTCCGGGTTGGCAAATTTTCACTCCATTTTTAAACATGTGTTTAGAGTACTTGGATGCGATACATTTCCACATGATGATAAGCCATTACGTTGAGCTATCATTTGTGGCCAGGTCACTTCTGAAAAAGCGCTATATAGCTCAGTGGACCCTACCTGGTAAAATAAAATTAACTTAGTTTAATTTCAAAATGGCCTGTAATGAGGCCAAAACAAATAGATTGCAGATTATTTTTCTCCAAAACATTACATCATAGGCGACTTGTTAGGAATTAAGAATAGAGATCCTCCAGTTTTTGTGTAAACAGTTTTGTCTGCTTGGTTTGATTGCCGATAAGTCATGTATTAGTCATTCTTTTCAGTTGCGTCATCCCGCAATTGAGAGCCAAGTTTTTGATCTGTCAAGGTCTGCCATGAAGTTTAACGCACGTTTTTTTATTCTGAAAAAAGAGCTGTTGATACATTTACTGGTGTCGTTAAGCAAGCAACGTGTGACGTGAAAACTAAAGGCTGTGCTCTTGTTAAGCCGGTATTCCTAAAGTTCAAATTAATACATTATAGAAGCTTAAATATTTGGTTTTAAAATGCCATGTCTACGAGTAAAACTAACAGGACCCTGAGTATTTAATTTTTTTCCTTGAGGTATGATTGATTTGAATGTCACATTATAGACCAAAGCGATTGCTGGTGAAGACATGTTTAGACGGTATATTTATTTTGTATTCTGCAAATGTAGTTTTCCGCCCCATCAGTTTGCTGCCCATCGTAAATGCTACGATGCCATGCTGTGCAGGTTTTCTCTTACCTGTGTTGGTGTTTGTGTAAATGCTTCCATCATATCTCTAGTGTGGTTACTGGCCCGTCAGGGTGTTCAGATGGGGAAAGAAGGGGGAGGAGGGGAGGGCAGCGAGGGAGGGAAAGCAAAGCCATCCAAGGAATGCTCTTGGCAAGCAAGAGTTTACAAACAAGTTGCCCGGATCGGCTTTCCCCCAGGCACAGATTAACCCAGGCCGCACAAGACCAGCATTGTTTCGGGAGCCTCGGCTCTGCTTGTGCCCTTACATTCACGGGAGGGGAGTGAGTGGGCAAGGCGCTGTGAGGGCAGGGTGGAGGGGGGGCTCCTTTTCAGGCACGGGGTCGTGGGCCATGGGCCAGTCAGCCGTACTCAGGAGGGTTGGCAGGTTTAGCCTCTGAGACCCCCTGCCCTGCCATTGTGCCATTCATCTTGGCCAAGGCAGCAAGATTAAGAAATCCCGCTTGTGTTTGAGTTTTAGCGGGTTCGTCACGGGCGTGGCTGCGTTTTAATAAGCGGCCGGCCCCGTGGCCCCATTCCACGGTTTAAACGAGCGACGGAGCGTGCGAGCGTGCGTGTGCGGACGGCCAAGCGGGCGGGCGACGTTCTCCTGCTCTCTCTCCCGTTCTGTTTGAGCGTCAGCACCCAAGGTCCTGCCTGCCGCTGAGCGGAGCGGCGCACTAATAGACGTCCGTGCGCCCAGACGCTTGCCATTTTGAGCACGCCGCCGTCTCCGTTACAGAGCAATTAGGTCCGGAGAGCGGTGGGGGGGGCTCGGGTTTCGGCTAGTTTACAGTCACTCCTTATTAACCAGAGCTAATGGCGCTCTATTCGGCCCCGTTGTGACTTTTTGTTGCTTAATTTCCCAGTCGTTTATTAGAAAGAAAAAAAAATCATTTTTGGCCATCTCCAGGATTGTTCTTGTTTTTGAAAGCGGTTAGCGAAGCGTGAGTCAGTTTTCTTTCTCCCCTTTTTGTTTGTCGCGTTCGATTATTACGTTGTTGCCCAATAAAAACATTTTGTTCAAGCCTACAGCTTTTTCAAGAAAAAAACGTTTCATCAATTTAATATACAAAAAAAGCTGAAGCCACTTGTCGTCATCTACCGTGTATTTGCAGAAATTATTACAAGTGCTTTCAAGTTTTACCGCTTCTTTGCACCATTATTGCGTAGGAAATGCAGCGGCCAATTCGCGTTTCTTATTTCGCGAAAACGACAGCCTTAACATTTCAGGCAAATCCTGGCGTATTTAATCTGTAGCCGCCATCCTGTCTTTTTGCATTCGTGCCTTCGAACTTGCGTGTGTTTCGAGCGTTATTTCACGAAAAAAAATCCTTGCGTTATCAATTGTTCAGCATCTGGGACCAGTTACGTCAATGATTGTTTTGTTGTGCGCAGAGGTTTTTTCGCTATGTGACATTGCCCTGGAATGAGTGTTGAGCCGAGGCCAAAAACTACATTATAAAACCCAACTGTGATAGCAGTTATAATAATAATAAATGTATGGGAAAGGGAGCATGTTTAATTGACGAGTGCCCTGGCCTTCAGGGAAATGGAAGAGAGAAAAAAACCACGGGGAACGTGTTACCTATTAACGGCATTGATCTTGAGAGTAAACTTTCAGCATTTGGGGCTTAAACAAATAAAGTCACATTTTTCAGCTGCAGCCTTACCCACGAAAGGGTGCTGCTGCATTAGTAATCTGCCAACAACTGTCGTTCTTCTGGCTTGCCAAACTGTGGTCTGTTGCATCGAAGGCCTACCTACCCACACACCATGTTGATTATAACCATTTAAAAAAAAAAATCATACTTCACCATGCTGGTCAGTGTAGGTTCGTGAAGTGGGCGAGGTGGGGCGTCGGTGGACCAGGACTGGTTCGGATGTCACTCGGCACCGATGTTAGCCGTGGTCGAGAAATCTCGCTGAGGTCACGCGGTTCATAGCGCGATGCGCTAACCACTGTGCCACCGCTCGACCCCGCTATATTAGGGGTGTTCAAATGTTTTCACAAGGAATGCCCCCCCCCGCCTCCCGCCATAATGTTTTCCACACAGTAATTGTACAACAAGTTCGTTCATTTTAAAAACTAACAGTATAATGTGTGTTGGTGTTTGAACTGTTATCGTCCAATTTAGTAAGTCATTTTAAAGTGCCCTTCTTTGTGTGTATACGCAGCATACATTTCATCGACATTGTTTA